TACAGTGTCTCTAAAGTACACCCTTTCCCCACGTATTAACATCTATGAAATCAAGATTCACCTAATAATCAAAGGTATGCCATAGTTTTAACTGTTAATATATTTTTTCTAACTGACACATAAAATAATAGTGTCATAATTAATGACATTTTAGATTAAACAAAATAATCACACATTATTCACTAGTGATAGACCTTATAATACATCTTATATAAAGATATATGTATTAAAAATGGACCTGTAAATCTTAAATTCATAATAATATATAAAGTATACATTAATTCTTTCTTAGATGAATATTTCAGATTTTCATTGAACTTAAGTTTAGAAATAAGGAGTCAAATCAATAAAACATTTTATCTTCTTAGCATTTAAAAATTACAGAACTTACACAGTCTACTAACGGCATGATTAATAATTAAAAATACACAACAAATTTATACCACACATTTTTTAAAGTGTTTTCTTATCATATGCTGAGAAACATTTAATACACTTATATTTTAGCCAAACACAACTAAATTTCTACTACTCTGAATGTTTGCAATCAGGGTCTCAGTTGTTACTTCCTGTGAAATGCGGGGTAGCTGACTGACCAGGGATGAACACCCACCGTTTGGCAATAAAAGGGTGGAGTCTTAACCACCTGACTACCAGGGAAGGCTCTCATTTTTTATTTCACTAACATGGAATATAAAGTGATAATTCCCAATTTCTCCTGATTCCTCTTATCTTCCGCTCAAATTCTGTTCATACGATTTTCCCCTTATATTATTATTTAAACGTGTCTCTCTCTATAGACACACATATGGATATACTTACATGTTTGTTCTGTTTAAAAATACAAACATACATACATATGTATATGCAGAAGTAAGTAAGTGTTAGGTGCTCAGTCGTGCCCGACTCTTTGCGACTCCATGGACTACAGCCCACCAGGCTCCTCAGTCCATGAGATTTTCTAGGCAAGGATACTAGAGTGGGTTGCCATTTCTTTCTCCAGGGGATCTTCCCAACCCAGGGATTGAACCTGGGTCTCCTGCATTGCAGGCAGATTCTTTACCAACTGAGCTACAAGGGAAGCCCATGTATATTGATAGTAGGTAATTAATAAATGTTATTTTGCTTATTACTTCTTGGGCGCTCAGAACAACAATTGCAAAGAAGGGCACAATGTAATTTCCAAATCTAATTAAATGTTTTACTGTTTTTCTTTATAACATGACACCCTTAATTCCAACTTGCTTTGATAAATATTTCCTAATTTAGATGATTTCTACTTTAACTAAAGAGAAAAGCTACTTCTAGCACTTGTTAACTGCCATTCTTGTAACAACAGAAACAATTATGAGTAATACAAAAAAATATTTTTTAACCTTTAATCGTGAAGGTTTTACCTTTACTGATTAAATTTACAGGGCCACAAGAACATTTTTAAGTGTAAAAAGCATTCTACTTGTCTGATCATCTAATGCAAAGAAATAAATCATAATTGACAACATGGAAACATAGTTTAAATGTCAAAGCTATAAAACATAAACCTAAAAATGCTTCAATCAAATCTAAAACCAAGCTATAAGAAAATTCTACTAGAAGTCTTAGAATGAATTTATTTTAGAATTTACTTCATCACTACTAAACCATTAATTTTGTCCCTGTGACTTAGTGAAGGATTAGCTTGCCATTTCTGATTTTAACAAACCAAATGCAACCATTTGGCATCATTTAAAATTTAATCTTCAATTCATTCATTCTTTTCATAAAATTCATTCCTTTCTATTCATGGAGCTTCTATTACGTAGCAAAGATCACTAAAGAAATACCCACTCTTCTATTTGAAAGGTGGCTTTTTATAACCTGACTGCTAAGATCATGAAAAATGTCAAAGCAGAAAAAGTCCTATACCTCACTCTTCATTTTACACCTGCTATTTCCATTTTAACTCACACCACCCCTTCCATATAACCATGTAATTCCTTTCAAACTCCAAGCACGTTTCAAAACAAAATTTCCTGTCCTAAATGCCACTCTAGCTAATCTGATAAACAGAAGCTTACAAATAAGAAAAAAATATTAGTAAGTTAAACTACTCTCCTTCTTATCAGTTTTAGCAACTGTTTCTGTTTTCATTTTGTCTGCTTGATATTTAAACTCATCTTATTCAGGAAGAGAGCCTTAACAGAAAGAGAACCTAGGCAGATAGGTGAGAACTTAAGTTTCAAACAAGGGGCAGAGCTCCTGGCCTTGGGTTTTTCCTTAAATAGCTAAATGCTATTTATGTTTTCAGAAAATAATGGCTAACATTATTTACAGGTATTGTTCTATATGCTTTAAATGTTATTAAATCATTTCACCCTCAATATAACACTATAACGCAAGCACTATCATTATCCTCATTTTATGTATGAGTAAACTAGAACTTGGAGAGGTTAAGTATTTGTCCAGGGTCACACTGCTTCTAAGTGATAAAGGGGGAATGTGAATAAGTACAACTGGTTCCAAAGTCAAAGCACTTAACTTCATTATCATACTGCATGCCCAATCTAACTCAGAATTGCTGTAATGATTATATCAAAGTCTCTGAAAAGAAAACTCTATTCCTCGAATTAAAAAAAAATTAATCTATGAAAGTGACAGAAAAAATACAAAGGTTTCAAGCATATTAGCAAGCAGAGGCAGTATTGGTTTTCTTCAGATTAGTATTAGTATATAATAATTCCTAGATTATATATCACATATGTGCATTAAATGAACTCTGACTATACAATCATAACTTATTGGGTACAAATTTAGTTATTTTTGAAATTTATGTTTCACAATGCTCATGGTTAAGTTCTAGCACACACTCCCTTTAATTTTATCTGATATAAATCATCTGATATTAGAAAAAGTTCGATTCTTTTAAAACTAAGAAAAACAAAACCTTTACAAGAAAACATTTAATACATCATGAAATACTACTAAAATGATGAAAATAAACAACCATTTAAAGGATGGTTGGTTCTTCACAAAAAATTAAAAACTCAACAAATTCAAAATAATACAATGTAGTGGGGTAACTGGAAAGCACAGTAATAAAATACTTCAAGTGACCAATATAGAACTCCAGGTTGTATATGAATTTCATTTCCATCCATGCCTTTTCTTCCAACATGAAAGTAATCTTTGGTTGTCTAATAAAAATGATCAAGAAACTGTTGCACTCCAATAGTTTAATAATATATGGACAAGCTTCGCTTCTACTTGGCTGCAACTTATAAATTCCTCTATCAAAAAGTCATCCACTTTCAGCAAGTGATTTTTCTATCACTTACTCAATACCTGACCATGGAAATATCTTTCCAATACAATCCTGACCTCTTCTCACGAATGCTATCTCTAAAACACAAGTACTAAATTGATCATGCTGTACAATATTAAAATAATTTATCATTACTAATCTATATCTAACAAAAATGCAAATATTACAGAATATAGATACTCTAATATATTACTATCCCCTACCATATGAATCCACACTTTTAAAAAATCCAGTTTTCTCTATTATAATTTATTTCTAATTTCCCTTTATATATTGTTTTTTTCTTGGACCAGGTTCACCTGTTATTTTTTCCCTCTAGTATCCTCCCATCCCCCCCCATTTAAACTAACTGTAACTCTTGAAGGTTCTCTAAGGTTTCCTCTTATGATTATTTTAAATATCCTTTCAAATAGTGCTACTACTTTGTCCATATCCCTGTACAAGTTAAAACTGGAAAACTTTAATTACAGTAACTTTTAATACATTAAAGGATTATATATGGGGTTTCCTAAATTAAAACTAGACAAAATATTGAAATAATAAGATACCTTCATACCAAAACATTTAAACATAAGAACAGAAATCTAAATTTCATGTTAACTATCTGCAAATAAAATATAAAATAAGTAATATTAATTATTTCTCTATTAAAACAAGAGAGCCTATGTTATTTAAAGATTTGAACTGAAAGACTTCAGGACCTAATGATATAATTCAGTTTGATGGTTGCATTTAAAATGCAGTGAATAAATTGTTATAAAATTGTTTCAGTTCTAAGTATCTATATAATATATAAATAATTTCTTAAGCAAATGAAGATTTTAATAATAATGAAACTTCTCCTTTACTGTGTACTCTTTTATGTGGACAAAAGAAAATTAAATGCTTTATTAAAATTTCATATAAAGCATCCAAAAATAACCAAATATTCCCATAAAAACAAGTCTAAACTCCATTGGCCTTATATTAATATTACCCTTGTATACATAAAATAAACATACACATAAAACAAATAATACTTATTCCATTTTATTTTTTGAAAATGTATTAGGTAAGTAGTCAAATAAAAACACCTAAGACTAATGTACTCTCCAAAAGCAATTCTTTATCCTTATAATTCTCTTAGAACATTAATCCTCACCTGGCCTCTTTATTACATAAAGTAAATCAGAAAGACTATAAGGAAGTAAGTCTGTAAGAATTGAGAGCTGCTTATTATTGATTTAAATGGTCTTAGTTTCCTTGCCATTCTAGTTATTTCAAAGTTGTGGGTTTATGAGAAAATAGATTTCATATTTCCAAACTATCAAGTACCCAGTGAAGTACAACTAAGAGAGAAAGAAATCTATAACTATAAAGAATTTCATGGCGCTTTTAAATTTTAAATAAATTTGGAACTGGCACAGCAATGCGGATTTTTTTTGTTTTTCCTTTTTCTGTTTTATATATAAAATATTTTCCTATTTTAAATTCTTTTTACTAACAAAAAGGTATGTTCATATATTAGTAAATTTAGTAAAATTCTGGAATATTATCAATACCTAATTCATTCAAAAAGGCAATGAGGTACACAGTGTCTAACAACTTAAAAACTCCAAAGTGAGAAACACATCACATGCAAATCAAAAGTAAAAGATTAGACAGACAGTGCTTTTACAAAAACTTCCAAGGAAGAAGGTTTAATTCTTAACCAACTTACCCAATTTTTGTCTTCTCTTTTAACTTAGAACAAGTTTTTGTTTTTTTGCTCTCTTTGTCCTTTGGCTTGGTTTTCATCCTTCTTCCTTTCTTTTCCTCTTTCCCTTCAACTGAAGCACTAGGGAAGTTTTCAGGGCTCATTACCCGTGGAATATTGCGTTCCCCTCGCTCCTTTGCTTTTGCTATGGCCTCTGATATTATACGATTAGCCTTTTCTTGCTTGCTTTCTGATTCCACCTTTTTTCTCTGCTTCTTCTCGGACATGATCCTCACCTGGGTATTCTGCAACTTAGTGTATGTCCCAGAACCATCACTCTTCTTGGAAGATGGAGGCTAGAGAAATCAAAATAATTTTTACACAATATATAAAAGTACATTTAAATAATTAACACAAACAACCAAAACTTCAGAATTAAGCTTAAAGAAGTAAAATACATAAGCAAATATATGTGTTACAGTTTAAAATTAAAACATTTTGCTGATTTAGATATTAGTCTAAGTATAAAATAAAAAGCCAAACTATCGCTTTTAAAAATGAAGATTAAAGAAGGGTAATATAGATTCACTGATATTTTCACAGCATTCTTAATTAGCTGATTCGAATTTTGTCCTATAAATACAGCTAATACAAATTTAGTCATATAAATATTTTGGGCATTTGGAATAAGTATCTTCTTTCCTCTTCATTCCAGAACTCTGAAAATTATTAATAAATTTAAAATATCAACTTTCATTTAGAATGACTACTCCCCATAGTTTATTATGATTTTTAGAAAAACAAAGCCTCTCTGCTTTACAAGAAACTGGAACTAGAACCTGAAACCATTTAAATCATTTTAATGTGCAGTCTATGCGGCAATGTAGCTAGTTAGTAAACAGACAAAACCATACTAAAAATTAGAGAAAGTTTTAGTTCTTCTGTGAAAGAGTTAAATGAGGATTTTTTTTCTCTTTCTATATCATAATATTTTGCTCAAGCAATTCTGGAAAAAAACAAATTTATAGTTTTACGTTAAAATTATTAATATTTTAGCAATATCACAGGAAGCAAATCAACAGCATTTTAAAAAGAATATTCTCTTCAAACACGCATTCATCCACATATTCTTAGATCACAGTTTTGTTACATTCTTACCCGTAAACATGCCTCTGACTACAGCAAGGGAAAAAACCACCAGGAATTTCCAAACACATTTCCATGCTGATTCCAGTGTGCTTCACTGGGTATCTTTTCTATACCTGCCTCATCAAAGGTTTCATAGCAGTGCTACAGCACTGAGAATGGAAGGAGGGTTTAGAATCGCTCACTGAAATGCCACCTTAAGGCCTACAGGCTATAACAAATAACCAAGACGCGAGAAAACAGCAACAAGCTCAAGATGGCGATGCAGCACGGCTCCGGCAGCAGCAGCCAGTAATAAGGAAGGTTATTCAATCCCATTAGCCTTTTAGCCCAAAGAACCCCTCCTCCTCCCACTCATTCAGGCTTTCACTTACCCTTCCTCTTGGCCTCTTCACTGAAGACATTTTTGGCGTCAGACAAAGGCTTGCCCTCTGCTTTTTCACCACCCCAGGCAGTGCTCAAGAAAAAAGCATTGAAAGAAGATTCCTAAATGGCCTATTTAGCAAGCTGCAACCAAGAGATGCACAACCCTCCACAAATACACATTGTGATTTATCAACACATTTCTGCCTTGGCAAGTTTATATCCACTGTTCATCCTAATTAGATATAAAAAAGGCGTAAACCCCTCCTAAAAAGCTGAGTTTCCTCAATAGCTGTAAGCAGATAGCCAGATTCCAACAAAGCACAGAAAGAAATGAATGCACAAAGCATCAAAATGCATCAGCATGAATATTAGAGATGTCGTTAAAAATACTGACTCCTTCTGCGGAAGTAGGCCAGCAGATGGTGCTACCAGTTATTATTCCATTAGACTCTGCAATTTAACCCCCAATGGACTGTTCTTCCCTCCATGTAACATATTTAACTCTCACTCTACCATTTCCTGTAGTAAAAGTTTTTAAAAAATATACGTAAAAACTTGATTTCAAAACATTATTTGAAAATGAAAACAGCAGTGAAGTGGCTTTATGTAGCTATCATCATTAAAAAAACAAAGTCCAGTGCAATTTTTACCAGAGAAAAATACTTTTCTCCGGGATAGTCTAAAATATCTAAAGCATAAACACAGCTGAAGAGGAGTGAAGGGTTAAAGAGGAGGTCATGCAAATGAACACATAACAAGTGACTTCTCTTTAAGAAATTAGATAAGGTCTCTCATTATTCTCCTAACAAAAAGCTAACAGTGTTATTTTTAAAACAGAGAACTGAAGCTATTTCCATTTAAATTCTAAAAAGAAGCTTAAGATTTTGAAATGAACACATAAGATCTGTCTATAAAAAATAACTAATCCTACTTAACATTTTCTCTTACTTAAACCTGAATTCATACATTAATTTATTTTCCTAACCTCAAAAAACTCCTAAAACATTCCTGACCTTTACTCTCCACATTCTATTTCAACTAAAATGTTGAGTTTCTCATATAACAATTTGAGTTTTAGTCCCTTGCTAAAAACAAATAAGTAGCAAGTCCTCCTGAATTTGATAATTAATACCATTTTTCTCCTATAAAATATTGAGACTATTTTAGTAGTCTGAAATACCTAAAACAAAATTTTCACTGCTTCAAAATTCACATTTACCTCTTTCATTAATGCCATTTTTTCCACTGGTCTTGGCAGATCATCTGACATCTGACAAAGAACCTGTTTTTAGTTTTTCTTTCCTTTTAGGCATCAAAGCCCCTGAAATGGAGCTATATTATATGAACAGTATCCTAGAAAAACCAAAGTAAAGAGCAGGAAAGGATATTAAAGGCATAGGATCATTAATGGCAAGAAAAGGATCTTAGTAACCTGAGAGATCATCTATGTAAAAATCATAACAACCAATAATAACGGCCACCACCAAATGCTTACTAGGTGATAGGCACTATTCTAAGCATTTTACATGCAATAATTAATTCAATCCTGAATAATAGGGTAATAGTGATAATGGAGAGGAGTAGCAAATGGGAGAGATTCTTACAGTAGTATTTCAAAATGAGAGACTAGACTTAGGGGCATAAATAATAATAATATTATTATTATTATTTAAAAATAATAATAATAATAATAATAAGAGCTAACATATTTCATCCTTACTATGTTCTAGGCACTATGCCTAATATGACAAACACATGAACAACGTGGATTTAAACTGCCTGGGTCCACTTATATACAGATTTTTTTCCCAATAAATACTACATAATCCACCACTGGTTTCATCCAAGGATGTGGAACCACAGATATGGAGGAATCATGAACTGCAAATATGGAGGAATCACATAAAGGGAAAACTGACTATAAATTATAATTGGATCTTTTAGTGAGTCTCTAACCCTACATTGTTCAACGATCTACAGTACAGTAGTTCGGTTAATCTTAAAAACAGCCCTACAAAGAAAACCAAAATTCAAAGAGATGCATTCCAATGTTCACTGCAACACTATTTACAATAGACAGGACACAGAAGAAACCTAAATGAACATCAACAAAGAAATGGATGAAGAAGATGTGCTACATATATACAATGGAATGCTAGCCATAAAAAAGAACAAAATAATGCCATCTGCAGCAACATGGATGCACCAAGAGACTGTGATACTCACTGAAGAAAGTCAGACACAGAAAGATAAACATCATATGATATTGCTTATTGTGAATCTTAAAAGGGTACAAACGACCTTCTTTACAAAACAGAAGTAGAGTACATGCAGAAAACAGATGTGTGGTTGCCAGGGGATGGGAGGGGGGCAACTGGGAGACCGAAATGGACGTATACCCACTGCCATGCAGCTGCTCAGCCATTAAGTCGTGTCTGACTTTTCGCAACCCCACGGACCCCTGGGCCCACCAGGCCCAGGCAAGGATACTGCAGTGCGTTGCCAGGGGTGTTCTTTTCCAGGGGAGTTTCCTGACCTAGGGATCAAACCCGCATCTCCTGCCTGGTAGGCGGACTCTTACCACCGAGCCACCCGGGAAGCCTCACGTGCACACCGCTACATGTGAAATGGGTACTGATAAGAACCTGCTGCATAGTACACAGAACGATTCAATTCTCTTAACGGCCTATACGGGAAAAAATCTTTTAAAAAAGTGGATATATATATATATATATTAGTATATGTATAATCTTGGCTGCACACCTGAAACTAGTGCAACACTGTAAACCAACTAAACGCCAACAAAAATGAAAAAACAAAAACAACTCTGTGAGGTATGTACTACTATCTCCTCATTCTATAGCTGAGGATACTAAGGCGCAGGGGCTTCCTAGGTGGCGCTAGTGGTAAACAACTTGCCTGCCAATTCAGCAGACATAAGATACACAAGTTGCATCCCTGGGTCGGGAAGATCCCCTGAAGGAGGGCATGGCAACCCACTCCAGTATTCTTGCCTGGAGAATCTCATGGACAGAGGAGACTGGCAAGCTACCGTCCATAGTGTCGCAGAGAGTCAGACACGACTAAAGTGACCAAGCAAGCACACATTAAGGCATAGAGAAATAACCTGCCTGAGACCAAAAGGTTAAGGAAAGATGGAGCAGGGATGAGGAGGCAGAAAGCCCTATAGTGGAAACCATGGTCTCAACCACTGTATAATACAAGTAAGTTTTGTATTTGTATTGTAAGTTACACAGAGTGGTTCAAATACCAATATATTACAGAGATTGGTTCAAATACCCTAAGTTATAGAGATTAATTTGAATATAAAAGAAAGTAAATGACTTTCTCAAAATCGCAGAGATACTAGTAATGAAGCAAGAAACAGGTTCAGTTTTTCCCAGTCCTCTTTCCAAGATGTAGAAATCAACAATACATGGGTGGGTATGGCTGACAAGCAGGAAGAGTCAATACTTGTTTTCTAGACCAAGTACTGGTACAGGAGAAGATAAAAGAAACAGGAAATCTAGTTGAGAAAGGGTGTGTATTTTTGCATGATTTAATTCTTTTCACACTGAGCTTAAAATGGAAAGTTTGAGTAATTGCAAATTTGGGACTGGATCCTCAGGAAGAAATAAGGGGTGGAATATAAGTTATAGATTCTCCTGCCATTTTCTTAACTCACTGACATTATTCACAGAACTTAGGGTGATTTCCAAAATATCTCACTTCTCGTACAAAGATTCTCAAGAGATTCCATTACTTAATATCAAATCCCATTTAACGATGAATCTTAACAATAGACCATCAAATATTTATAATCAAACATTTCTTCTACTGTTCA